GGGGTCTATCCTATATGGGGTTCGTTGAGCTTCTTGGATGGTCCGCTTTTCATCTTTCATGATATTGGGGAAGTTTTCTGTCAGCAATTCTTCAATGATCCTCTCTGTATCTTCTGCTTCTCCCCCTGTTCTGGAACTCCAATCACTCTCAGATTTTTGCTTTTGATTGTATCCTACATAATTCTCAGGGTATCTTCATTTTTCTTCATTCTTTTTTCTGATTTTTCCTCAAACAGAGTTGTATCCAAGTGTTTGTCTTCAGTTCTGCTGATCCTGTCTTCCACCATTTCAAATCTGCTCCTCAGCCCTTCTATGACACTGTCTATTTCTGAAATTTTGTTGTTTGTCTTTTGGATTTCTAATTGTTGTTTTTGTATAATTTCTACTTGTGAATTTATTTTAGCATTTTGTTCCTGTATTATTTTCTTGAATTCTTCCATTTTTTTGTCTGTATTTTCCATGAATTTGTCTGCCTTTTCCATGAATTTGCCTGCCTTTTCCATGAATTTGTCTATTTTTTCCTCATTTTTGTCTGTTTTTTGTTTCAACTCTTAGATAATTCTGAGTATTAGAGATTTGAATTCCCTATCAGGTAGTTCTAGTGCCTTTTCTTCTACTGAAAAGTCATCTGGTGTTTTATTTTGGACGCCTTCTGGAACCATCCTGTCTTGTTTTTGTAAAAGTTTTGATATTTTCTGCTGTCTTAAGGGCATTCAGTAGTTATTTTTCTCGTTTATTTATTGTAGATTTGTTTGTATTTGGCTATGTCTGAGCAGGCGGTCTGTGTGTTCTTTGTTTTTTGCTCATCTGTGGGTACAATACTTTTCACCTCCTTCTCCAATTGGCAGGGTCAGTCTCTCAGATATGGTACAGCTAGCTGAAGAGGAGTTGCTGGGATGGGTTGTTTGTGGCACTTACTACAGCCACCAGGACGGGTTGGTAATCAGTGCAGGGCAGTTCCAGTAGGCCATGCCTGTGCTGCTTGGTGGTGTGATGTTAAGCGCACGGTGCATGTAGGCATAATGGAGGGGGAAGATTGTGATGTGTGGAGCTAAGATGGGCATGGGAGAGAGGAGAGAGGAACAGGAACCAAAAACATATTAACAAACAAAAAAGAGTGCTAGGGGTGCTTGCTGTTGGAATGGAGAGATGAGAGACTATGAAATGGAGAAAAACAAAAAGAGGAAGAAGAAGAAAAAAAAAGAAAAGAGTGAACAAATAAAATTTAGAAAGAAAAAAGAACAGGAAAGTTCCCAGGGATCCCACCCCTGTGGCTACGAGGTCTGGGGAAGTTGTTCCCAGGTGTTGAAGCACAGCCTGGCTAGGAGGTGTAGAGGTATTCAGCACCAGCTATCCAGAGGAAAGGAAGAGAAGGAAGGTATAGAGAGACAAGAAGCTGAATAATGAAGGAAGGGAAAACAAAACAAAACAAATTAAAAAGAAAAAGAACAAGAAAAAAACCCCAAAAAAAGAGAAAAAAAAAACACAAAAAAAGAAATGCCCTCAGGGATCCCTCTGCACATCTACACAAGCTGAGGGGGTAGGTACCAAGCTGCACAGCACCACCCAGCCAGAAGAGGCTCCCAACTCAAGAAAAGAAAAAGAAAACAAACAAACAATTGAAAACAAACAAACAAACAAAAAAAAAAGCCCCAAGATCCCACCATCATGGCAGCCCAAACCGGGAAGCAGTTCCACACGTGAACAGAGCTCCACAGCCCCTCAGGAAGAAGCAAATATGGCACACGGAGCCGGGTATTTGAGCAAAAGGAGGGGGAAGTGGTGAGAGGTGAGGAAGAAATCAAAAGAAGTGGAAAAAAGTAACACCAGCAGCCAACAAGTGGCACTCAGAGAGCCGGCCAGTGCAAGCAGGTGGAATCCAAGCAGCCGGTGCTTCCTGGCCAAGAGACTGTGGCCACAGGAAGCAGAGGAGGCTGAGTGGGGGTGAAGAAGGATTGGGGGTGGGAAAGTGTATATCGCTGTTTACCGGTTGTTCTGTCTCCTACTGGAAGTTCCGTGAAGCTGCTTTCTTGTACCCCCTATTTGCTGGTCTCTGATAGGAGTCCAAGATGGAGGATCCGTGCTGCATTAGCTGATAGGGGACCTCTCCATGTATGTCTCCTCACTCTCTGTTCTCTGTCAGTTTCTTATTCCGTTTGGTGCTTGGCTGAGTTCTTTATCTTTTCATTTGATGTTTAGGATTTCAGGATTGCTGTTTTCTCTGTTTGGCTTAGTTTTTTGGGTCTTTGCTGTGGAGGGACGGAGTGGTGCTTCTGCCTAGAGCACCATGTTGCCGAAAGTCCTCTCTTTATTTCCTGATGAAAGATTTTGAGAGTTCTCTTCTCCTACTTTTCCATTTCACTCCCATGGCAGCCAGTATCCTCTTCCCTATCAGTGAGAATACGATCTTCCTTATAATTCTCAAAGAACACCAAAGACTGTCCTTTTTCAAAGTGAAAGCTTTCAATTTTGTCACATCCTTCTGTTTCCTTGGATTTCCAATTCTTCTCCACTTCCGGATATTCTCATGAAGGTGAGCCTTCTGAAAAGAGCACTTTTCTAGACCAAATGGAGCTATCAGAAGAGCTGAGAGTCTGATGCACAAACACCTTACACGGGGCTTCCTACTTCTTGTTTGATGGTCTAAAGTCATCAGATTTTCTAATGGGCTCTGAGATCTTAGGTACAAAGGCTAGAAGGCTTGGAATGTGTCTTTCTCTCTCTTTCTGAACCTTTTGATTTTGGGAGACAGGAGTCTAGATCTCCTGGGCAAGACTGACAATGGGGGCAGAGGGAACTCGATTCTTCAGCTACCATGCTCCATACCAGAGGTAGAAATCTCTTCAAATTTTCTTTGCTGTCCCTTTAGAAAGTGAGGAACATTTTCTCTGGTTACAGACTTGGAGATGTTTGGTTCTAAGCAAGATCTTGGCAACAAATTGTCCAAGTTCACATCACAGAGCTCCTTGGAATTTTCCTCCTTCTCCTACAGGAAAGACTGCATGGCCAGGATTTTTGTCCTCAGGTCCACCATCTCGATTTTGTTTGAGAGAGAAGCAGGATGTGCTCTTGCCCATTCTTGATGCACTGAGGTTATCTGATTATTTTCTTTTGAATCTTCTTGGCTCTTTTCTTGGGGATTACTGGCATCTCTTGGAAAAGTAACAAAAATCTCAACACATTCAGTGAAGAAAAATTATTTTCTGCAGAAAAGTCTTGCTTTATCCCATTTTCTCCTTATTCTGTTCAAACAGATGAATGTATCTTCCTAGGTTTTGGGCATCGAGATTCAAAATACTTTGATACTTGCTCCACATGTTGATAGTTTCCTAATTTGTGAATTTCGTCTTCCCAATGTAGAATTTGTTTTTTAACTACATTTTCCAGCCTCCATTACAGTACAGATAGCTAACTTGAGAGACTGATTTGTGTGAGTAACATGAAAGCAGATAGAGCATAGGTATCTTTTTTCGCTGGAGTGGGTGTCAGAAGAGGGAGGGATTCTAAGGTTAATGGTGGGGGCAAATTAGTTTCTCAATATGATCTATCTTCTAATCATTAATCCTCTCTTCACTGTTAATCTACTTATTGATTGTATTCTTAATTCTGGTTGTTGTATTTTAATTCTAGAATTTCTATTACAGTCTTTTATTTTATTTTTTGTAGATTCCAGTTCTCTAGTAAAATTCTCCATATCTTGAACATAATAATCACAATTATTTTTAAAGTGGGTGTCTAACCACTTCAAAAAGTAAATCATCTGTTGGTTTGTTTCCACTGTCAACAGACAGGGTGCCCTTCTGTCTCACTTCCACAGGGACATTAGTACAGGCACAGACACATGAGCACACAGCACAGGGACAAGGACCCAGCTCCAGGAGCCCAGGACACAGGAGGGAGATCCAGTCCTCAGGGCACTGCTGTGCCTCCCATTCACTGGTAAAAGTATCACTGTGGCCCCAGTGCTCTCCAAAGAAGACAGATTTAAATGGTGCTAGTCTCTCCCATGCCCCATAGGAAGAGCTGGGCAGGAGCAAGTGGGCTTGAACACAGGTGTGGATACACCTGCTCCTTCTCCCTGCAATGTCTTCTGGCCAGCTCCTGATCAAGATCTGGAGGAAGAGGCATCACTGTGTATGGCAGAAGGCTTTGCACCAGGCTCCACCTCTAGAACCAGGCGTGATGGCTGCATTTGGGAAGGAGGGAGAAGATTGAACACTAGATCCCACTGCAAGAGGGGGCAAGGTTTAGCTGGCAGTAGAAGAATTGCTAGCACATTCCTGGGAAAATCCACGCAGGGAACAGTCTACAATAAGGTAAATGAGAAATTAACAATTTTGACAACATTGGCAACAAAAGAAAAGGAGGAATAATGCAATTTGTCTGGTGGAGAAGACTTTATTGTTTGTTGGGGTCACTGGAGGCCTCCGGCCTGGGCTGGGCTCACTGGCTTCCCCCGGAACAGGGCGCTGCGCCGTGGCTCTCTTTGTGGTAGTCTGTGACTACATCCCTCAGCGTGGAGAGAAACTCCGGAAACGCAATCTTCTTATCCCCGTTTTTGTCTTTTTCCTCAATGAGATTGACCAAGTAATCAGTGCCCCTTTTGTCCTGTGGGGAGGAGACAAAAAAAAACAAAACAGAAATATTCCCAGCATATTCTTGGCTAGGAGAGGAAGAAGAGGGCAGAGACAGTCAGGGAGGAGCCCCAGGGTGCACAGAAGAGTGGCTGGTGCCGTCTCCACCAGAGGACAGGTTGGCAAAGATGGAGTTGGGACGTTACCATCACCCCTAGAATTCTCTACGGGGAATTCCTTGGTCAAAGGTCAGCCTGAATGAGAGACTTCAGGATGCTAAGGAGGGTCTTCTGCAGGTAACTGGGGAGTGAGTGCGGAGAGAGGTCTCTAGTTCCAGACTACTCCCTGCCTTAGGGACACTACGTACCTGTGTTTTTCCCCAGGGACTAATGCCTTCTATTCATTCTCTAACCCTGCTCTTCTTTTTTTCCTGGCTCCCTCCCCCAGCCCCGAAAAAATTGATCACCTCATAGCTATGTTAAACAACTCTTCTCAGTTCAGTGCATTCTAGCAGTCAAATGAAATCAGCTTCATGAATGAGCTTTGTAAATTTCTATTAGTGTTTGAATTCCTATTGCCTTCCCTCTAATCTCAGATACATTGAGAAGGAGCCTTCAACAAGTTGGGCCTGAACACCTGGGGCTGAGTCTCATGGAGGGAGCAGCAGTGACTTGTACACTGCCCTCAAGTAACAGCACTTTGCTGAACCATCTGATAACTACCTTTATATTCACCCAGAATAACGTGTCCTCAGCCAAGCCAGAGCACCTACCAACATTAACCATCCAGACATCACCCACACAGGCACTGAGGAAGTTGGGGAAGTTCTCTCTCATCATCATCATCAGGCCGGGCTTGTCGATGGTGTCATCGCATTCAATACATTTATGAAATAGTTTGATCCGGTCTACCAGGGTCTTCTCAGCTTGAGTGTTGCTCATCTTTGCTTTCAAAAAGGCTGCAGGAAGACAGACAATGATCTTTATTTCCAGTACCCAGGGTGAGGGTCTCTAGGAGCAAGTGAGGGCAGGGCAGAGGGAGAGCAGAAAGAACTTGTGTTTCTCTGTGTGTGGGATGAATTGCTTCAAAAGTGGAGGGTAGGACCAAGTGTTGGGATTGAGGACATGTGGGCCAGGGGCAGGAGGAGCTGCAAGAGGACATCAGGCATTGGGCTAAGGTCACATCCACAAGGAGGTGGAGTAGGGAGTGTGAGGGTCAAACCACACAGAAAAGGACTGACCCTGCATTGGGACCCCAGGCACAGGAGCATTTGGGGGACCCCACACTTCAAACAGCATTGAACCCATCTCCTTCAGCTTCAAAGTCAGAGTTAGAGTCACAGGGAGGCCACTTTCCGTGGGGATCTGGTCTCACTGTCCTCAGCTGTCTCAGGAGCAGGACTCCCTGGGACCTCAGGACTACAGTTCAGGCCCTGCGTGACATGGTGTCTGGGGGCTCCTGGCTGGAGAGTGAGTGTGAGCAGAGAAACACACTGTCTGAGTGCAAGAGAGGTCTTCATGCACCACCCCCAGAAGTGAGAAAGGGTAGCTGTGACCACAGTCTGCTCCAGATTTAAAATGAACAGAAATCACTACCTCAGCTCTTAGACTGCTGGATGGGGAAGGTGTAGGTGGTCATTCTGGTTGCCTGTTGTTGGGGATTATCTTCTGTTTGTGCCTCTCTTCTATCCTGATCATCAGAGCTTGACCACTTTTAAATAAAGAGAACTGACCCCTGAGGCTGGTTCCTCCAACAGTCAGAGGTCTAGGCTGGACCGAATATGAACCCAGAGAAATTAGACAATGCAGTTCTCACATCCCAGACTTTCCAGAGCTTCCTAGAAATGACCCTGGTTGATGTATATAAGCAGCCAATAACAAACCACCGTCACCTTTCAATGCTGGAGAATGTTCCCTGCTGGTAAGTCAACAAAAAGAGCTACCACAGGACTTGTGTCAGCTGTAGCTAAGCCAGATACATTTTATTATATTCCTACCGTGAATATCAGGCTCTTGCTAAAATTAAATTTTGTGATGATATGTCTTATTAGGCAAGATAGTATGGTATTCTTTCATGGGTGAATCGTATATGTGAATGCAATAAAGTTGTTACATTTTTTGTCAAGTGCCCTTGTCCTGTGCCCTCACCAGAGCTGGCTCCCATCACAGTTCAAGGCTCCTATGCATTGAGAGTCAGGTCCCCTTTCCTTGGGCAGCCACAGACAGGGAGCTGATCCACAGGTTGGAAGGTGGTCACTTAGCTGGCTCTTCTGCTCAAGCCAGAGAAAGTCTGGTGCTGCAGTGGTTAAGAGCTATGGCGTGCCACAGAGGCTAACCAAAAGGTCAGCAGTTGAAATCCACCAGGTGCTCCTTGGAAACCCTATGGGGTAGTTCTACTCTGTCCTATAGGGTCGCTATTGACTCAACAGCAATGGATTTGGGTTTTTTTATTTGTTTGTTTGGGCCGACTGCCGTTGCGATCTATGATAGACCAGCTGCTCCAGTGTGGAGTTAACCCAGCCTCAGGCCCACACACAGACCTGGCTAATACTAGGGTTTACAGGTGGGTGTGCAGGAAGGGGTGAAAGTCTTTGATGGAGGTGCAACCAATATATTATCACTTGTGCAAAGCTAGTTGTCTGGTCATCCCAGCACCCTGCCCAGGTTTGCTCAGTGAAGACAGACCTCGGAATCATTTGCTCGGGTCAATTGAAGCAGGGTGTCATGGATAAAGTAAAATTCTGAACCAGCATCTCTTTAAAAATTGCTTTTGACCATGACCTCTTCTACCCTGAGACCAGAAGAACTAAATGGTGCCCAGCTACCACTATCGACCGTTCTAATCAGGGCCACAATAGATGGTCCCTGATAGAATGGGAGAAAAATGTGGAATAGAACCTCACATTCTTAAAAAAAAAAGACTTACTGGACTGGTTGAGACTGAAGGACTCCTGGGGACTATTGCCCTAAGATACTCTTCAAATCTTGAACTAAAACTAACCCTTGAGGTCACCTTGTAGCTAAATAACAAATTGGTTCAAAAATAATGAATATCACCTGTAAGTACAGTGCTCCTTTAAAACACATATACATAAAACCAAACCTTCAACAGTTACTTTAAAACAAAGTTTAGAAGGTAAGGGGACAGGAAAACTAGATTAATGGAAAGGAAACAATCAAAACAGAAACGTGAAAATGTTCACATGTTGTAAAGATTGTAACCAATGTCACTGAACAACTTGTGTATAAATTGTTGAATGGGAACCTAAACTGTTGTGTAAACATCACTGAAAACAATAAAATATTATTTTTTTAATTGCTTTAACCCGATTCTCTTTTGCATCTTCTGCTAAGCTACAATTTCCTGCATGCTAGAGTTTCTATCATATCCTATATATCTCTTATGTTCTTTTGTGTATATTCTGTCCTTCTTCTCTCTGTGATTCAATATGCGATTTGTAGTGATCTATTTTCATTCACTAATATCTCTTCACTGTGATTAATCTACAGTTAAACCTATCTATTGCATTCTTAATTCCAGTTATTGTGTTTCAATTCTAAAAATTCTAGTCTTTTTTTTTTTTTTGGTAGAGTCAAGTTCTCTGGTGAAATTCTCTATTTTGTGAATATATTAATCATAGTTATTTTCAAAGTTATTGTCTATAATTTCAATGCATAGATTGCTGGCATTTTTGGAATGAATGCTAAATATTGTATATGAAAAACATTAGAAAATGTAGATAATTCATCTCTCTCTAGAGAATTTTCTTTAGTTTCTGGCAGGCAATTAAAGTAGTAGATCATTTAAATCCAATAGGGATTGAGTTGATTCCAGCCTGAGTTTTGGGCTTTGTAAGTCTGGAATATTTCTGATATATACACTTAATCCTAGATTGTTGTTCTTTAAGGGTTCTGACTGAAAACTTAGGTGTTTAAGAGAATACCTGTACCTTCGCAATTCCCTGAGCTCCAATTTTTATCTTCTCAGAGCTCTGCTTAGCCTCTCAGCCTCTTAGCAGAAGCTTTCTGCTTGGTTATACCTCTTGGCATGTGCTGCTTATGAATCCATGAATGCTTCACTGGGAAAAGCAACTTAGACTGACAGGCTACTCTCAGCTTCCCTTTTCTCTAGGACACAGGAAGGGGATCCAGCCCTCAGGGCACTTCTGTGCCGTCTATTCACTAGGACAAGTACCACTGTGTCTCTGGTGCCCTCTAAGGAAGTCCTATAAGGTGTGGCCAGCCTCTCCCACACCCCATAGGAAGAGCTGGGCAGGAGCAGGTGGGCATGGGCACAGGTGTAAAGACATCTTCTCCTTCTCTCTGCAGGGTCTCCTGACCAGGTCCTGATCTAGGCCTGGAGAAAGAGGCATCACTGTGACTGAGCAGAAGGCTCTGCACTGGCCTCCACCTCTGGAACCAGGCATGGTGGCTGCATTATGGGAGTAGGAGGTACAGGTGGACACAAGGTCCCACTGAGAGGGGTGGCAAGGTTATGCTGGCAGCCACAGTGAGGGGACACTGCTAGCACATTCCTGTGAGAAACCACCCAGTGGACAGTCTACAATAACATTAATGAGGACTTGACACTTTTGACAACATAGACAATGAAACGGAAGAAACAATAACGCAAATGTAAAGTGGGAGGAGACATTTTATTGTTGTTGGGGTTGCAGGAGGACTCTGCACTGGGCTGGAGTCACTGGCTTCCCCCAGAACAGGACATCATGCCGTGTCTCTGTGATAGTTTGTAACTACACCCCCCAGAGTGGACAGAAACTTGTAAAAGTCAATCTTCTTATAACCATTCTCGTCCTTTGTCTCAAAGAGATTGGCCAAATAATCTGTGCCCCTTTTGTCCTGTGGCAAGGAGACACAAAGCAGAAAAAATCAGTCACAAGCATGTTCTGGGCTGGGAGAAGAGAGGCGGGCAGAGATAGGCAGGGAGAGGAGCCCCAGGATGCACAGAAGAAGCCGGGGCCACTGTGGCCAGAGGGCAGGTGGAGGAAGATGGGCTGCGAACGTTAGCATCACCCCTGAGGTTCTCTGAGGGGGATTCCTTGGTCAAAGATCATCATGGATGAAGGGCCTCAGGAGACTGAGGTGGGTACATGGAGGTGCCCTGGGGATTGAGTGCAAGGAGGAAGTCTTCAGCTCCAGGTACCCCCTCCTAAGGGACATCATCTACCTGTGTTCTTCCCTGAAAACCCTTGTCCTCTTAATGGACCCTAACGCCTTGTTGTCTTCATTTTCAACCCAGCTCTCCTTTCTTGTTTTTTTTCCCCACCAAAACTGATCTGTTCTGAGTTTCTGTTCTTGGTCATCTCATGGCTATGTTTTCTAGTCACCAACTCTTTGTGCTACTCAGTTCGGTGCATTGCAGTAGGCAAATTAAATCAGGTTTGTGAATGAGCTTTGTCAATTGTAAACAGGGATTTTAATTCCTATTAGTGATGGCATTTCTATTGTTTTCCCTCTAACCTCAGGGACTTTGACAGGAGCCTTCAAGAGAGCAGGGTCTGAACATGTAGGGCTGAGTCTCATGGAGGGAGCATCGGTAATGGGGGGAAGGGGCCTGCTCACTCACTGCCCACAAGAAGCAGCATTTTGTTGATCATCTGATAACAGCTCTTTATATTGTCACAACCCTTTCTTGTTTTCAGTATTTTCACCTCTTTACATCCTCGTAATAACCCAGCAAATGAAGTCCTATTTTCTTCCTTTTGTAAGTGTGGAAACTGAGAGAGAATAACAGTGACTTGTCAAAGGTCACTCAGCATAATGTGTCCTCAGCCATGCCAGGGCACCCACCAACACTGACCATCCAGATCTCACTCACACAGGCATGAGGAAGTTGGGGAAGTTCTCCATCATCATTATCAACAGACCAAGTTTGGCAATCAAGTCATCTTGTCCAGTATATTTATAAAATAGCTTTATCAGGTCCATCAGGGTCTTCTCAGCTTGACTGTTGCTCATCTTTGATTTCAGAAAGGCTGCGGGAAGACAGACAAAGGCCTCATTTCCTTCCCCCAAATGAAGTTCTTTAGATACATGATGGGACTGGGGCTGAGGAGAGAGTGAGGGCTGGGCTGAGAGGGAGCAGAAGGATCTTGTGTTTCCCCATGTGTCATGGATTGAATTACGTCCTCCAAAAAATGTGTATATCAATTTGGCTGGGCCATGATTCTCAGTATTATGTGGTTGTACTCCATTTTGTGATTGTAATTTAATGTGAAAGAGGATTAGGGTGGGATTGTGTAACACCCTTACTAAAGTCACATCCCTGATCCAATGTAAAGGGAGTTTCCTTAGGGTGTGGCCTGCACCATCTTTTATCTTACAAGAGATAAAAGGAAAAGGAAGCAAGCAGAGAATTGGGGACCTCATACCACCAAGAAAGCAGTGCCAGGAGCAGAGGACATCCTTTGGACCCAGGGTTCCTGAGCAGAGAAGCTCCCAGACCAAGAGAAGACTGATGACAAGGACCTTCCTCCAGAGCTGACAGAGTGAGAAAGCCTTCCCCTGGAGCTGGTACCCTGAATTTGGACTTCTAGCCCACTGGACTGTGAGAAAATAAATTTCTCTTTGTCAAACCCATCCACTTGTGATATTTCTGTTAGAGCAGCACCAGATGACTAAGACACCATGTGTGGGATGATTTGCCTCTAAAATGGCAGGGTGGGACCAGGTGTTGGGATCAGGGACTCACAGGCCAGGAGGCAGAATGACCTGCAGGAGGACAGCAGACTTCTGGCTGGTGTCGGGTCCACGGGGATGGGGAACAGGGAAAGTGGGGGTCATACCCCACAGAAAAGGACTAACCCTTCAGTAGTACCCCATGGACATAGAGCATTTGGGGGACCCCACACCTCAAGCAGCACCAAATCCATCTCCTTCAGCTTCAAAGTCAGGGTTAGAGTCACAGGGACAGCACAGTGTCCTTGGGGATCTGGTCTCACCATCCTGGTCTGTCTCAGGAGCAGGACTCCCTGGGCCCCTAGGACTGTAGCTCAGGCCCTCATGACATGGGGCCTGGAGCCCCCAGACTATGAGGGTGAACGTGAGTGTGAGCAGAGAAACAGCCTGTCTGAGCACAGAGCGAGTCTTCCTTGACCACCCCTAGAAGTGTGTGAGAGGGAGAGAGAGAGACTGTGACCACAGTCTGCTCCAGATTGAAAGTGAACAGCAATCACTGCCTCAGTTTTTAGGCTATTGGATGGGGGCGGGGGGAAGGGAGGCCCTTTGGATTGTCTGATTTTGTGAATCATCTGCCTTCTGATCCTTTGTTCTCTCTGGATCATCAGACTTACAGATTTTTAAACAGTCTGACTCCCCAAAGGCAGGCTCTCCCTCTAACAGTCAGGGGTCTGGACTGGGCTTCAACCAGAGAAATTGGACAGTGTGGTTCTCCCATCCCAGACTTTCCAGAGCATCCTAGAGATGACCCTGGTTCATGCATGTGGGCAGCTAATAACAAGCCATCATCACCTTAAGACCTTGTAGAAAACTCCCAGCTAGTAAGTCACTAAGACGAGCCACCCGAGTCCTGTGTCAGCTATTGCTAAACCAGCGTCTGAGCCCTGTGCCCAAAAGGTCGCTGGGCATTGACTGGTAGAATACTGGAGAAGAGAAGCAGTGAATGATCAGTACCTTACCCAGCTGAGGACAGGTCATCTCACAGGGCAATGGCGAGTGAGGGTTCCCAGACTGGGGGTCAGGAGAGCCTTCAAAGAATTCACAGGTGGACCCCTAGCCCTCTACTCTCCCCAGGAGGTGGGATGGGTTTTAAGCAGCCCAGAGCCTGACCATAAAGTGAATCCAGGGAGAAAAGAAGACAAGGAGGAAAGGGCGGTCCTGTCTTCAACTCCCATTGGAGATGTTCTCCCCCAAAAGTTTTCTAAACACCAAATGGCAGAGCCACAGGAGTAGGGACAGATGAGGACTCTCAGTCTTGTGGTGAAGTTCACACAGCCCCACAGTGGCAGAGTCATGACTAGAACGCAGGCTCCTGTCCCCTCACCTACAGCACCTCTCTCTGCTCCTGCAGGCAGCAGAGCAGGTGGCACTGGGCATGACTCCTAGGAAAGCAGAGGGACAGGTGCAAACTTACGGGAGCTGAGGATGATCATGGAAGAGAGGACAAGGGAGACTGTGATCTGGGCACAGAGCAGGCCCTTTACACAGCTCAGCCTGGCTCTGCGGGGCCAGGAGCCCTGGGGCCATGTGCTCTGTCTGCTTCCTGCAGCCCTGCCCCATGCAGGGGTGGACACCTCTGATGCTGTGACCAGCATTTCCTGTCAGCATCCAGGGCCACCAATAAGTGCACTTCCTAGGTCACCTCACCCAGAACATCCTTCTCCCCAAAACCCAGTCTTGGGTCATAACAGGGCAATGAAAGATTAGAAAGAACTGTGTTTAGGACCCTAAAGGGGTTAGTAGTTAGGACCGTGGATGCAGCAAGTCTCTATGGACTCACTTACCCTGTCCTTCAACAAGCCTGGACTGAAGGCTCACAGACCCACCACTTAGCTGTTGAAGCACTTACACTGTGCCTGGCATCAGGTACCTGCTGCTCATGCACTGCCTCGTGTACCCTGACTGCCACCTTAGGAGGTCAGCACTGTGACCCCATTGTAGGGAGGGGATATTGAGGTATCAACATGTTAAGAACACATCCCAAGGTTCCACATCTAGTAGACAGCAGAGTCAGGATATGAACTTGGATCAGCCTGATTCCAAACCTTCCTCTTGACCCTCAACCAAGCCTCCTGAGTCACATCAGGTCTGCCCTCTGGGTACTCAAAGTCCAGAGAAGAGGCACATCTGATCCTCCCAGGATCGCTGGATAGGAGACTGGTGTCATCACTCACAGGGGACACACCAGGGGTCACAGAGGGCAGTGGGCTGAGCAGAGTCACACAGCTGGCGCAGGAGACATGGGGCCAGAACCCAGGAGACCTGACTCTAAGCCCCCATGCCTGGCCTTCACTTTACAGCCCCATGTGGGAGCTTGGGCTCCACCAAGAACAACACTGTCTAGCGTGCATGGTGTGGGACCCCCATGGGATGAGCCTGGAGACAGGAGATTGGGCCACGTTCCTTCCCAAACCTGTGACTGGTGCCTTCCTGTGGCATCTTCAATCCGTCTTCTTTCCTCCATGCAAATCAGCCTGCATCAGAGTCCAGAGTCATGGGGGTGACCAGGCTCTGACCTGCACCATCGTCTGAGGAAGGCTGGTCCCATGTGGGCAACAGGAGCTGGGAGTCAGGAGGAAGGTGTCTGGGGAAGGCTGAGGGCGGCCCTGATGGATCACTGACAGTTACTGTGTTCCTGCTCCCCCTACCTGAGTCCCCGTGTGACACAGAAGAGTTTTAGGCTACTCCAGTGAGCACCCTCTCAGGCTTTCTGGTCTCCACAGAGTAACCTGAGGTCTCCCTGGGATGCAGCTGTTCTTATGTTCCCCCAACCAGCTTCTCCAGCCATCGTCATTGAAACCAGGACCTTTCTGATTTCCCTCTCTCCCATTCCTTTGTATTATGACGATATTATATTTCATGGCAAAAAGCTGTACATGTGTACAGTTCAGTGACATTAGCTGTGTTCATCATGTTATGCATGTTGAAATGGCAAATGTTTTGTTATATACATATTTGCCACAATAAAAAATAGGAATTGTTGAATACATGTTATTATATCCATCCTATGAATATTATGCACTTATAAAAAATTAAAATTCACTGGGGATATGTCTTGTTAAACAAGATACTATTTTATCCTTTCAATGGGTGAATTGTATGATACATAAATTTAACAAAGCTGTTAGGTATTTTTGTCAAGTATCCTTGCCCTGTGCCCTCACTAGAGCTGGCTTCCGTCACAGCTCAATGCTCCTGAGCATTGAGGGGCAAGTCTCCTCTCCTTGGGTGGCCACAGACATGAAGCTGATCCACAGGTTAGGAGATGGTCACTTAGCTGACCCTTCTGCTTAAGCCTGATTAAGTATCTCTGGGCAGACTGCGGTCTGGATTTACAATAGACCAGCTCCCCAGTGTGGCGTTAACCCAGCCTTGGGCCTACACACAGACCGAGTTAATGGTAGGGTTTACAGGTGGGTGTGTAGGAGTGGGTGAAGGTCTTTGATGGAGGTGTGACCAATACATTATCACTTGTGCAAAGCTAGTGGCCTGGTCATCACAGCACCCTGCCCAGGTGGGCTCAGTGAACACAGACCTCAGCATCACTCTGGTAGATAGGGGAGGGATGACATGGGCCAGAATAAAATTCTGAATCACCATCTCTTGAAAATTACTTTTGTTCCATTCTCTTTTGCCTCCCCTCTGGCACTCAGCCTGAAACATGAGCTTGAAGATCAGGAGGAGGGTTTCTGGAGAACTACTGACTCCCTGAGGTGTTCTTTGTATCTGCTCTCTGCTCCCATTTAGGCTTCCTGCTGTCTGGCACACACACCACCCTCCTGGTCCACTCTATCCGTGCAGTGGCCCTCCAGGCTCTAGCCAGGCTCCCCGTCTCTCTTCTGTGTCCACATTTCCACAACACCACACCTCTCTGGACTCACTGTTTTAATCCATTTCAACCTTACTAGAAAGCCTTCAGTGACAGACGCACAGGGAAGTGGGGAGAATGGGATGTCTTTACATGGAAGAGCTAGGAATCAAGGGTGGAAGAGAGACTTCATTTCCACTTAAACCCTGGTGTAGCATTTGAATCTTGTACTGTGTATACATACTCTAAAACAATTTTTTATTTTTATTTTTATTTTTAAAAGTTTTCTTTTGTTCAGTTCCAGCCCTGAGGGTCAGAGGTTGAGCCACTCGCAATCCCCGTTTCCCGGAATTTAAACTTCATTGATATGCTGAAAGATCTCTCTCGTTTATTTATTTATCTCTAACCTTCACTCCTGAACCATTCCCCCACACAAACAATATAAAGTATTTCTTTTCATTTGTATTATATA